CTCGACAGCACTGGAGCAGCCAGGGAGCCTTAATTAAGCGGTTTCCCCACGTCCCGCTGCGCGGGAAGATGCTGCCCGTCCCCGGGCGCGGCGGGAGGCTCCGCGGGTCCTGCCCGGCAGCAGGTTCAGCCGCGGTAGCGCACGCGGGGCCGCGTCGGTGCCGGCCCCTCAGCTTCCCCATCTGGGGAGCAAACACGAAGAAAAACCTCCTGGCCGGAGCTCGGCTCCATAGACCCAAGCGCCCGGAGCCGGGAGGCTTCACCACGCCGCACGGGGACAGACTTGCCTTCCCCAATGGAGCCAGCCCGGGCAAAGCGAGAGGAGGAGGAGGAGGAAGGTTTGCAGGGGCAGACGGAGCTGCGCGAGAGCCCTGGATGCTCCAACCCTACCAGCTTGGGCAACCGCAGCCTCCAGAGCAGAGTGAGCTCGGCTGCCGCCGGCACCCGCTGCCCACGGAGCCCCCGAAGCTCCCGGGGAGGTTTCCAGGGCTCTGCTGTTAAATACCCGGGAAAATGCAGCGGAGAACATGCAAATCAGCACCGGGGGCGTGCGGGAGGTGGGAAGGCCCCAGAATAACTCGCTCCCCGGCTTTTGTCAGTGGAAAGACGCCCAGGAGAGACTTCCATCCCACAGCCCCGGACCAGACCCCGTGGGAAAGGGATGCTGCCCATTCCAGGGAAAAGCCCCTCTCCTGCATGCACCTCATTGGGAAGGCCTCTTTTTCCCACCTCCGGAGGCATTTGGCTCTGGCTCCTGCAAGCTGAGCCTTGGCGATGGATGCAGCAGATCCCACGGGACCCCCTGCCACCCGTCCCCAGCAAAACCAGCCCGGAGGGGACAGCCCGGGGAGCAGCAGAGCCGCAGGCGGGGATCAAACCTCCATCCTTACCGTAGGAGTCCGGCTCGGCCGGGGGCCCAGCGCCTGCCTGGCCTTGGGAGCACGAACAGAAAGCGACAGGAGGTGACGGGTCAGCGCGCAGGGGAGCAGCATCGCGCCCGGACACCGTCCATCGGGATTCCGACCC